ATTCCTAGTATTGTGCTGCGAATTGCTCAGTGTTGTGGGGAAATTAATATGATCTTTTTAAGGAGCATTTGCTTTCACTGTAAACCTAAGAACAAGTGGTTTTTTTACCCTTAAAGGAAACAAGGTATCAATTACTTCAGCTTCGACCTGCACAGAGAGCATCATGGATTGGTTATGCTATTGCTTACCATTTATTAGAAGATTATGAAATGGCAGCAAAGATTTTAGAAGAATTTAGGAAAACACAACAGGTAATAACCAGAAGCTAGACCTAGTGAACTAGGTCTGATTCTAAGTATAACTAAAAGAAGGAAGTGTACATAAACTTGCTAATTTTTTATATTGAAATAGTCTCAAACTTAGAGAAAAGTTGCAAGAATTGTACAAGGAGCTTCGTATAGGAGTTCACGCACATTAACTAATTGTTAATATTTGACATATTTACTTTATAATCTATGTATCTGTTTAAACAGTTTTCTTCCTGAAACATTTGAGAGTAATTACAGATACCATGCTCTTTTACTCCTAAATGCTTCAGTGTGATATTTCCTAAGAATAACTCAATGGTTGTGAACTCTATAGATAATACTATATAGAAAAAATTGAAAAATTTAATATTGACAGACTATTATCTAATCCACAGTCCATATTCAAAATTTATTAATTGTTTATATCCTTTCTAGGATTTCTTTTCTATTTAAGGATCCAGTTTAGAATCATACCTTGCATTTATTTATCATTTGTCTTTGGTCTCTTTTAATCTGAAGTTTTGAAGACATTGTGTATTTCACAACATTTGATATTTTTGAAGAGTACAGGGCACTGCTTTTGTAGAGTGTGTCAATTTGGATTTGTTTGATGGTTCCTCATTATTATAATTAGATATTTTTGGCAGGAAACCACAGAAGTAATGTTGAGCCCTTCTCAGTTCATCACATTAAGAGGCACATGATGTCTGTTTGTTCCATTTGATTACTTGTTAAGGTGGTGCCTGTTAGGTTTCATCACTATAAACTTATTTCACTCTTTGTATTCAATACACAGTTGGAAACTATGAATAGCCTGTTCCTCATCAAACTTTCACCACTAGTTTTAGTATTCATTGNTAAAGAGAGGAGATCGAGGCCTGAAAGAATAGGGTGTTGGTGACTGAGATGAGAAAGAATGGGATGATAGGTGGTGTGGGCCAGATTATGAAGGGGAATGTGTCTTAGGCTTTTTTAAAACCATGTTCCAAATGAGAAGATTTTTGTTAAGCTTTACCTTGCCATTCGAACACAAAGATCATTTTTCAAATAAAATTTATAATATTAAGTATGTATCTTTAGTTACACGTGCCATTGTAGACATTCTTTCACTGACTCTTTTGCGGATCTCTGGTTTAAAAGTTAGATTGAAAAGTTTGAACCTGATCTGAGAGAGAAAATTGTAAATTCCTGGAAAAGGAATTGGATTTTTTTCTTTTGATTATGTGTGTTTTAGAAAGGTTATTTTGGCAGGAGAGAATAAAAGCAGAGAGACTGAAGGTGGGGGATGGGTGACTTGTAATCATCAAGACCTAAAATGAAAAGAACCTGTATTAAGGGAGTAGAATTATTTACATATTTTCCCCCTTTATAGCCTTTTTTACAACTGGTAATTTTTCTTATCGATGTCTCTTACTGGACTCCCAAGTTCTTTGCTTAAAGGTGACTGCCCATTTTGGTCATCTATCAATTATTAAGAAATTTTAATAATATTTGTTAAATGAATGAATGTTACTTTATGTGTGGTTGATTTTTAGGAACTTCATACCGCACTGAGTGTTCTGCCCTAAGGAGCTTGTTAGGACAAGAAAAGAAAATATACATGACTTAAAAGAATTGTGTATCATAGATACCCATTTCCTCTTTTTCCTTTTATAAATAATATCTAACATGTATTGAGCATTTACAAGTATTTTGTGCCAGCCACTAAGCACTTCATATGCGTTATTCCATTTAGTCACCAAACTACTATGCTTTGCTCTATAGACTTTCTATTTACATTTTATTATTGAGGAAACATAACAAGACTAAATAACTTGTACAAGGTCACAGAGCTAACAAGGCAGGCTAGACCTCTTTTCTCTGGCTTGAAAACCTGTACTGTTTTCTATTGTATTAAACCATCTTCTATATTTATATTCTCTCCTATTTTTTAAGCTTATAATTTTATAAGTAGCTATAGTTCTCTGAATTTCCTGGGGAACATCAATGGAATATTATTTCTTGACTTAACTAAATCTTTTAGGTTGTATCCTTAACTAAATCCTTTAGGTTGGCATGTTTATGGCCTTCTCCAGCGGTCAGACAAGAAATACGATGAAGCCATTAAGTGTTACAGAAATGCGCTAAAATGGGATAAGGACAATCTTCAAATCTTAAGGGACCTTTCTTTACTGCAGATTCAAATGCGAGACCTTGAAGGTTACAGGGTAAGTAAAAGAGAGAATACTTTTATTCTAGGGGAAAATACTGTTAAAATATTTAAACTTCTTTGAGTACTTACTGATAACAAAATTTTATATTTTTAAAAAGAATTTAATTAAATCTTACACCCTCCCCCAAATAGTGATTGTGTTTATGACTGGACTAATCAGATTTTTAAAATAAATTATTTTAAATCATTCTATTAAATCAGACCTAGTTAGGCCCTCTCTTTTTCCATGTAGTTACCTGCTGAGTTGTTTTCTATAGATCTTAATTCAGTAGCTATGCACTGT